CTATTATATGCATCTATGGTCATCTCCTGCTGTGTGTGTGTGTGTGTGTGTGTGTGTGTGTGTGTGTGTGTGTGTGTGTGTGTGTGTGTGTGTGTGAGTGTGTGTGTGACTGTTTGTTTAAGTGCATCCACACACTGTTGTTAAAGTGCTGTAAGCAGCCGTTTCATTAGCTTGTCCTCTGAGGACGAGGCAGTTCGAGGGCAGGGATGTCCAACAGGTGGTTTGTGGGCCAAACTGGGCCTCTATTAATAACTCTGCGTTGCCTGTTTCCACTGCAGGAAGCAAGGACATTTCTTATTTAGAACTCTGGAAACATTTTTGACTGTAAACAAGTGGTTTAATCACAATGAGAAACAGAAATCCTTTATTAGTCCCACAGCGGGGACATGTAGGATGTACAGCAAAGAGACAGGGAAGATACAGAAGCAAAAATAAGATAGGTAGAGTAACAGAGTAAAATAAAGAGGCCCTATTGTGCTTTATTGGGGTTTTCCCTTTCTTGTAGTGTGATGGGTTTCTGTGCATGTAAATGGTCTGCAAAGGCTAACATCCCTGTGTTCCGTCCAGAGGCAGTTTATCTCACACACACTCCAGCATCTTCTTATCAGGACAAATGGACAATTTTATTCTGGTGTGAGTTTGGTCTTCGCTTGTAGTTTAAAGGGGATATAAACTGGCTTTCCCTCCCTGAGCATCTCTGTAATGCATTTCTGATCAGAGACAGTCAGCTTCTATCTCTGCACAGACGGTCAGTGAGGAATCATCGGTGATACAGCGCTTACGGAAAATTAAGCTTTTGTCTAATGGAGAGTGTTACTGTAAACCAGCAAGAGACAGAACGCTGACTCTTAATGTATGTCTTTATGTCTAATGAGCAGAGGTAGAAGTACTCAGATCCAGAGATGGGGTCGTTACTAAAAAAAAAAGTAATATATTACATATTACATATTACTTTAAAAAAAAGTAATATATTACACTACTTCGTTAGTCTCTACATAAAGTAACTTGTTACTTTACTCGTTACTTTACTCGCAGGGCCGGCCCGCCCCTCCCTACAGGCAGATCACGCAGACTGCTAAAGTTTCAAATGTTCTCTTTAGTTCAGTTTCCATTGTCGCATAAGACTGATCCAGATCCTGAATGTTTTCCTATCTGACCATGGCTGTCCTCTGTCTCCTGCTATCTGTATATTTTGCGCAGTCTATCTCTGCTCACGCTGTTGCGTCGGCGTGTTCTCCTGCGTGTTGGCCATGTGTTGCACTGGAACCAGACACCGCAAAGACTTCAGCCGAGCACGTACGAACTGCGCATGCGTGAGTGGCAATAACTCTCCTTACCAGCAGGCGGCGGTAGTGTGTATTCGTCATTCAAAACAGGCAACAACCAGAAAACAGAGAAGAAGAACAGACTACGTGATATAAACAAACAACAAATAGCTGTGCGTTAGCTTCACCTTAGCATGAGTTCTTTGCAGGTGTTTGTTGAGGTTTGATTATGACTGATTTTAGTAAGTAACGAAGTAACGCGTGTCGGGGCAATGTTAGTAACTGTAGTGTGATTACTGAGTTACACTACTCCGTTACCGGTTAATATTCTTACTCCCAACTCTGCTCAGATCCCTTAATTAAGTAAAAGTAGTAATTACTATGTTCGTAGTCCAGTAGAAGTCCAGTAATATTATCAACTAGATAAGTACACAGAAAAGTAACAGTTCTTGATGTGCAGTGGCTCTTCTCAAAGCATAATATTATTATAGAATAAAGCTTGATAGGCTAAGGGGCGGGACATCTCTAAGTAGTTGACCAATCACAACAGAGCCAGTCAGCTAACCAATCAGAGCAGACTGGGCTCTGGTTTCAGACAGAGGGTGAAAAGAGGTGCTGCAGCACAGACAGTATGAGAGGAATAAAGAGCTTTTTGAACATTAAAGCATGGAGACACGTCCCAGTAGAGACACAAACTAAATTACGGTCCTGGAATTGAGCATAAGGGGCACGACTGCTCGGACAGACCATTAAAAAAAACTGACTGCAGCCTATGAAAGATATTTTACATCATCAGTCATTTTGTAAGTGAAGGTGTCAGTGTTTGCAAATGGAGGATCTCTCATTTTGGAACCAAACTCGAGTATACAGTCCTTCCTGTGTGTGTGTGTGTGTGTGTGTGTGTGTGTGTGTGTGTGTGTGTGTGTGTGTGGTGTGTGTGTGTGTGTGTGTGTGTGTGTGTGTGTGTGTGTGTGTGTGTGTGTGTGTGTGTGTGTGTGTGTGTGTGTGTGTGTGTGTGTGTGTGTGTGTGTGTGTGTGTGTGTGTGTGTGTGTGTGTGTGTGTGTGTGTGCGTGCGTGCGTGCGTGTCACTGCACGCTGCCGGCAAATGCAGTGATGACTCATGCTACACACACACACACACACATGCACCATCTGTTTGACAGGCAGGCTGAATCACACAGCGGAGGGAAGCAGTGTGTGTGTGTGTGTGTGGGTGTGTGTGTGTGTGTGTGTGTATGTGTGAGAGGCCGGTTAGGATGTGGCGTCGGCGGCAGCACAGCTCGACAGCCTGTCGTCAACGGAGACCGCTGTGACTCTGTGACCGTGGAAACAGGATGTACGAGAGATGTCTGAGTACTTAAGGCAAGACGGAGAGAGAGAGTTTTTTTATTATTATTTTTAATCCAGACTTTTGTATGTTGACATTCTAAACAACCTAATCAGTGTGTGTGTGTGTGTGTGTGTGTGCGTGTGTGTGTGTGTGTGTGTGTGTGTGTGTGTGTGTGTGTGTGTGTGTGTGTGTGTGTGTGTGTGTGGTAGAGCTGCAACTAGTTAGTAGTTTTCATGCAAAAATGGCTTTTCACAGTTCTTATTAAACTGAGTATATAATCACAGGTGAGTAATCCTAAATTAAAGGTCACCTATCATGCTATTTTCAGGCAATAGCATAGGTCTCAGATATATAAAAATATATAAAAAACATGTCTATGAAGTGTTTTGCTCAAAATACCAAACAGATCACCCATTCTAGCCATGCCTCATATCCCTCTATTTCACTTCCTGTTTCAAAATTGATAAAATAAAAAAGGAGGGGTCTGAGTTCATGCGGGACCCGGCAGCTACTGTCTAAACTAAATACTGCGGTGATGAAACGCCATATCATGGATTATCAAGGATTATCTCTGAAACAGTCTGGAGCTCAAAGGCTTTCTCTCTTGCCACAAAGTGAGTTCCTTTTTACTTCCTGCTTCTTCACACACATGCTCTCCAGCACAGGTTAGCTCTGAGTGTTAGCGATGCTAATGTAAACACCGACCATATTACGTCCAAAACAGTCGGGCATTGTTTCTGATAGCAACTTTCTGATTGGGCCGTGGGTCCACATTTCAGATATTATGTCATATCGGACTCAAATCTGGATCAGCTCCGTTGTTCCCTCGTTTTTAGAGATTTGGGTACGGAGGAAAAGAGAGAGGGGTTTATTTCCTGACGCTGCGTGAGTTCCCCGACACACCGGGGACACATCTTTATGTAGAAAAGACATCAAAAAGTGTAATTTGCATGATAGGTCCCCTTTAAATAAGAACAGCAAGGACGCCATTTTTCGGCCTAAAATATTTCGTTGCTGAGACACGAAATAGATCAATAACACTTTACTTCCATCTTTAAAGGGACCAGAGCCAGGTCTGCTCTGATTGGTAAACTGGCTGGCTCTGTTGTGATTGGTTTTCAGGATTTCATATTAGTATGTAGTGTCTCTACTGGGACATGTTTTCATGCTTTAATGTTCAAAAAGCTCTTTATTTTTCTCATACGGCCTGTGCTGCAGCACCTCTTTTCACCCTCTGTCTGAAACCAGATTGGTTAGCTGGCCGGCTCTGTTGTGATTGGTCAACCGCTTAGAGATGTGCCGCCTCTTAGCCTACGAGTCTTGAACATATTGTCTTCAATGATTGCAATGTTACGTTAAATGTTTCCTTGTTTCTTTCTAAAAATGTGTCTTTGTTGATGTTGCAAATGGAGCTGCAATAAAGAAAGAAAAAATTCAGATTATTTTCCGATCATCGTATCGTATTCCCTTCAGTATCGTGATTCATATCGCGATTGCAACGTCAGTCACAATAACCGCACGTTGATATTTTATCCAGCATTAATGCTAACTGATTGTTTCTCTGGTGTGTTGCAGTGACAGCTACATTGTGCGCGTCAAAGCGGTGGTGATGACCCGAGACGAGTCGAGCGGCGGCTGGTTGGCACAAGATGGCTGCCTGAGCCGAGTGGGCGTCTGCAGGCTGCTGGCCAGCGAGCTGCTGGGACGAAACGCCTTCCTCATCCACGGAGAACGCCTCAAAGACAAGCAGGTCGCTGCACACGCATTGCATTATTGCTATTCTATTTTATTTATCTATTTTTCATACTTTATTTTTAAGTTGTTGACACATTACAAGAAAAACATAACAATAATATATAGGTCACCGGAGGCAATACATTACATGAATATTTTCACAACAATTAGTCCAGTACTATGAGGCACCGTCCCCCAAAACGGGCTCACAAGTTACAACCAGCCTTTGAGTGCAACCATAATGCTAATGTGGCCCGCGATGACATTGAGTTTGACACCCCTGCTTCACATGCATTAACTCAAAGGAACCAATAAATTGAAGAAAGTCCGTCTGCACATCATTAGTTTACTTCAACCTTTAAAACCACTGATTAAGGTGCACTACAAGTGTTTTAGTTTTAAGAAAGACTGGTCAATAGCCTACAGTGAAAACAATTATATCTGTGAGTCTCTGAATCTATGCCAAAGCTGAAATGTATGGAGCCTGCTGAGGGTTATGTTTTAAGTGACATTTTCTTTGTGTGATTATTCTCCAGGTGATTCTGCAGTGTTTCCTGAAGAAGGACCTGGTCTACACGAAGGCCACGCCCACGTTTCACCACTGGAGGGTGGACAACAGGAAGTGTGGGCTGACCTTCCAGAGCCCGTCGGACGCCCGAGCTTTCGACCGCGGGGTGAGGAGAGCGCTGGAGGACCTGACCGAAGGTACGGATCACACACTTAGAGTAAAGTATACAGAAGAAGAAAAGAGTATTGAGATACCTTTTAAGAATCACTACTCTACTTTTTCTGGTATCAGTACTTTACTCCACTACTTGTTTTTCTGACTTGTTTAACTCAAATACCTGTACTTTCTACTTCTTACATGTTGAACTCAAATACCTGTACTTTCTACTTCTTACATGTTGAACTCAAATACCTGTACTTTCTACTTCTTACATTTTCCAAACAGCTGGTTCCTTTAGTCTGAATCTGTGTTTGGTGGCGTGATCATTATTATTTAGAGTCATTGCGTGCCTATTGATTTGAACACGATCCGTGTATCCATCATTTCCTGGTCTTCTCTAAAGAAGAGGGACCAATAGAAACGTTGTCATGTTGCCGTTGTTCAGCATGGAAACATTCATTAGCTAACAATGACATTATTGTTCTATTAATATAAAGGGAGGTCAGGTACTCTTTAAAACAGCTGCTAGTTATGGGTACTTTTTACTGAAGTACATTTCAAAGCCCATACTACTTTACTTTTACTTGAGGAAAGAAGTTTAGTCAGTACTTCTACTTCTACCAGAGTATTTTTAAACACGAGTATCTGTACTTCTACTTGAGTACAGGATGTGTGTACTTTTGCCATCTCTGGTAATCACAGTGCTCAGAGTAAAGCCAATCAAGAGGATTCAACCAATCAATCATCTTTCAAACAACACATGTAGTAGCTAACTTCGCAAATGTTTTGTAAATGTAAACAAAACCCAGCTGACTTGTGGGTATTAGCTTGTTCGAGATACAACATATCAATCAGTCAGCTTTAGATTTTTGATGACTCTTGGTGCAGTTTCGTTTGGGTAGTTTTGAGCGAAGAAGTCGTACCCTGGTGCCAAATCAACTGCTAGCGAGTTGGTACTGGACTGCTACAAATAGACCCTTAGTGCAGTTCAGATTACAGTGAGGGCATAATCTGACCCGATTGATAGAAGTGAATCAAAACCAAAGGGGATTATGGGCTGCCTCTTCTGGCAATTGTTGAGATTTCCAAACACGAATGGACTGCCAGTATCACTTAAGACACTCTGCTCCATGTTGCCCTGTTAGTGTTTTCCACACGTTTTTTCATTTCCATTTGTAAATATTCCACAACCACATTTCCCTGCCCTGCTCATTTGTACACGCCCTTTTTTATGCCTTGTTTTATAACTGTCATTCTCCGAATAATGACATACTTCTTCTTGGACCTCTCTCTGCCTTTCTACTGAATGCAGACACAGGTTCATACTCAGATGAATTCTGCACTCCTCACAATATTACAGAAATGGTTGATTGAATACCTCCTCATATCTTATCATAGTTAAAACATTAGAGAGATTATCTCATGTGTTGGGGAATAATTTGCTTAGGTATTCAACCTTTGACACAGTTCATAATTTTCTCCTCTCACCGTCTCCTTTCCCACGGCATGGGTCTACGGCCTTGGGTATTGCTGCTATCTCTCTTAAGGAGGGGCAGCTTGGGCGCATTGTTGTTGCCAGTCTATGACAGAGCACAAGCCGCCATGAGGTAGTTTACTGTTCAGGGACGAAGGTTCCCTGGTGCACATTCTTTCCTGTGGACGAGAGCTCTAGTTTAGATTCAGGGTCCATATTTGTTTAGTCTCACTGATAAAGAATGTTGATTATTCTCTCTGAAGTAGCTAAATGCATGGGTCTGGGGAGAGTTCTTCAGAATTGACGTGGCAACTCTACCGTGAAGTCAGAATCTCTGACTCTTTGACATGTCTTGTGAATTCTCCGGCCGAAGCTCCAAATAAACCCGTCAGTACATACATATCAGTGTTTGACATCAGAGCTCCAGCTCTCCTCGTGTCTCTCTGAGTCCTGACTCCATCAGAGCTCCAGCTCTCCTCGTGTCTCTCTGAGTCCTGACTCCATCAAAGCTCCAGCTCTCCTCGTGTCTCTCTGAGTCCTGACTCCATCAGAGCTCCAGCTCTCCTCGTGTCTCTCTGAGTCCTGACTCCATCAGAGCTCCAGCTCTCCTTGTGTCTCTCTGAGTCCTGACTCCATCAAAGCTCCAGCTCTCCTCGTGTCTCTCTGAGTCCTGACTCCATCAAAGCTCCAGCTCTCCTCGTGTCTCTCTGAGTACTGACTCCATCAGAGCTCCAGCTCTCCTTGTGACTCTCTGAGTCCTGACTCCATCAAAGCTCCAGCTCTCCTCGTGTCTCTCTGAGTCCGGACTCCATCAAATCTCCAGCTCTCCTCGTGTCTCTCTGAGTCCTGACTCCATCAGAGCTCCAGCTCTCCTTGTGTCTCTCTGAGTCCTGACTCCATCAAAGCTCCAGCTCTCCTCGTGTCTCTCTGAGTCCTGACTCCATCAAAGCTCCAGCTCTCCTTGTGTCTCTCTGAGTCCTGACTCCATCAAAGCTCCATCTCTCCTCGTGTCTCTCTGAGTCCTGACTCCATCAAAGCTCCAGCTCTCCTCGTGTCTCTCTGAGTCCTGACTCCATCAAAGCTCCAGCTCTCCTCGTGTCTCTCTGAGTCCTGACTCCAAGTGCTTCAGAAGTTTCCCCCACATCATGTGTTAAGAGAAACTCTGGATAACTGTGTTAGGGAAAGGTCCAAATAGCAATGTACATGACATAGGAATGGTTAATTGTTAAATGTATGTGGGATGCACATCAAAAAGGTATAGGAACAAAAAACAAAAAACGAGGAAAACCAAATTGTGAAACCAAACCAGACTAAATAGAACACGAACCAAAATGACTTCCTGGTTTGGACTAGCCAATTGGACTGTATCATGTGAAAGCACCCGAATGCTAACCAAACATGGCTGACACTTTCTGGATATTTCTGTTATACTTAACAAATTAAGATAACGTTGTCTCACTTCCTGTCACACTGATTCTCCTGTGCCTCCTGCAGGGTCGACCACGTCTTCATCGACGTTGCAGAATGAAGCGGAGCTCGGAGATGACGACGTCTTTACGGTGAGAAACTCTTCCTCCTCCAGCTGTTAAACAACCAGTGAACTCTGAGGACAACGTGACCACTGGAGTATGAAGTCAATGTCCCAGATTTTGTAATTTATTTGGCGATATTGAGACATATCTGTGTAAAGCGATTCACGTTCCTGTTTTTCATTTTCAAGGTTTCTATAACGTCTCAGGAGAACATTAGGGAGGGGCTGTTTTTCTGTTATTTTGGCATCGGATTTGGACAGGAGATGTTGCTTTTGTTTTCAGCGTTACGAGCAGACTGTGTGTCTGTGGCCTTGGGGGGGGGGGGGGTGTCGGACAGGAAGTTCGATGGCCGGGAGGGGTTTGGTATCCTGGAGACACATGTATTGTCGCCGTCCTGTTTGGAGACACCAACATGGGAGCAGCACACACACTTCAGTTGGGAGGGTTTTTTTTAGACACAGACAATTCCTACGCTTTCCTCGTTTTTTGTTCCTTTAGCTAAAATAACCACGGTGACATTTCCTCCCATGCATAGCTTTTTGATGTGCATCCCAGATAGATTGAACAATTAACCATTCCTCCGTCATGTACACTGCTATTGGGACCTTTCCCTAACACAGTTACCAAGAGTTTCCTCAACACATGTGATAATCTCTCTAACGACAAAAATGCACATCCATTTGTTTCAACTATGATATCAGGAGGTATTCAATCAACCATGTCTGTAATACTGTGAGGCGAGCAGCGTACAGTACATGTGAGAATGTGCTGCATTCAGTAGAAAGGCAGAGAGAGGTCCAGGAAGAAGTATCTCATTATTCGGAGAGTGACAGTTTTGAAAATGGGAGACAAAGGGGATGACATGCGTAAATGTTCCCAGGTCGGATTTGAACTTGGGTTCCTCTCCATGGGGACGTTCAAACTTTTCTATATTGTGAGAGGATGAAAATAATTTGGGGTTTCGATTGTAACAAGAGATGCTGATTTTGCCACTAATGATACTGGTTATACTGGAGTAATCTGAGTTAAATGTACCGCAAGTTTCTTCCCTCCATCCTCAGTCTGATGAGGGGTCAAGCTCTTGCTTCCTCTTTCAGGGTCCAGTCTTTCCGTCTTTCGAGTGGCTTCAAAGGAAAAAGGGTGTATTGTTTCCTCAGGATGTCCAGCGCTGGAAAAGAGAGTCTAACCTGTCAGTAATCCGTCACCGAGCTCTTGTTTACTTAGCTGGCCTCGTTTAACGGCTGAGTGAGGGGAACGTGACTGCAGATCGTTCCTCTCCGTCCTGTCGGCACGTCTGGCACCCTGAAGAGGACGAAGAGGACGAAGAGGAGGAAGAGACGCCTGAGGATGTAGATCAACCTTCGTCAGGAGTCAATAAAAACCCTCCCTGTCATGAGGACGCGCTTTCTGTCGTGTCAAATTATCATATAATCTTTTAAAACATTATAGTCTGATTGCCTTTTACACTGTTAAATTGTATTTGTAGTCTTGTATGTGTTTAACAGAGACACATGTTAAGGGTTTACATTTCAGAAGGGCAAAAGGAAGTGTAAAAGGTGGATTTGCAAATGTTAAGGACAACAAGGTTTAATGGTGGGATGTAGGACCAGTTGGCTGTTTCGTTTCATGAGTTCAAAGTGTGACTGTGAGCTGTGTTCAGGGTGCAGAACTTCTCTGTCCTCTGAGGATGAAGTTGCTCTGCTCCTGCATTTGAGATCGATTTCACTTGTATATTGACTTTCTTTATTACTTTATTAAATAGAACAAAAGACAAACTTGTCCATTAATCATTAATCAGTTTCTCTTAAGAATTTCCTCCACACTTTCCTCTGGAGGTCCATAAATAACGGAGGAGATGTGGAGGAACTGAGGGAATGTGTTTGTTGGAGAAGTCTTTCCTCTCACAACTGAGAAATGTGAGAAAGCAGTTCATTTCTTTTGCTGTGAAGTTTTTTCTGGTGTTTGAAGGAAGTCTTCTTGTGTGATCTCAGTGAGCCACATGAAAGCTTCAGCTCTGATCAACCCCGAAGATGACTCGACACACGATGCTGAGCAAAACACCGGGCTGGGACTCATTTAACACAGACCCAAGAAGTTTTCTGACACACTGCTTTGGTTCTTGAAGTCTTTTGACTAATTGCAAAAGTCTGGTGGTGTGGAGCTCAGGTGGCTTCAGAGAGGAATCAAGCTGAAAAGAAAATAGGGAGATTTGTACTTCAAGATGTCCTCATCATAGTTTTAAAATGTTGCACACGTGTGTGTAAAGTCCTCATGTTGGTCTGTAGTCACTCGTGTCCTCTCTGTCCTGCAGACGGCCACCGACAGCTCGTCCAACTCGTCCCAGAAGAGAGAGAGAGAGCCGGCCATGCACTCGCTCGCCCCGCACAACTTCTGCGAGGCGCGTCGACACCATTGCATTCTGGGACATTTCTACGAGCACCACAGGCCCTCGGATCACTACTTCCTGGATCAGGTTAGCCGGGGTTTGAATAACCCACGATCGGAAATGCTTTTTATTTTACCAGATGGGTTTATTTTATAAAATGTATCTTAATTAACCGTAAAAAGTTTAGTTTTAATGTAGCAGAGTATATCTAGTGAGATCAAATGCACAATAGCAGCACCCTGAATGGAGCAGTGTCACAAGTCATGCCTCTTCTATTTTTCATAAGGTTTGTACAATGCATTAAAGTAAATGGCCAAAGTGCCTCTGGTTTTCGGTTTGGTTCTAGAAACACGTTATCTTCCATATAATAATACAATTGTTTTCATTCAGTGATACTCACCCAAAAATGCTTCACTGTAACACAAGTTATTCTTCAGAAAACATATGTAAAGATGATTTAGAAACTAAAATCCACAGAAGGAACTTTCAAAAAGCTGAGTGTTCAGTGCAGAAATGTTCATGTGCTTAAACTAAAGGAAGGAGTTCAGCTAAGGTGAAACAATGACAAAACAAACTTTGATCCAGATTGTACAGAAACATTATTTAAAATGTTGCACATACAGTAGGTTGAGATGTATTTGTAGAACACATTGAGGACAACCTACCACGAAGAGTCAGTAACAGCGGACCACCGTTAGCAGCTGTGTTTCTGTGTCTGCTGACCTCATGTATCTCTGGAGGATAACATCTAGGACTTATTAACACAGGCGTGTCAAACTCAAGGCCGTGACTTCATTTTCTGTGGCCCCACAAGAGCTTGCAAATATATGTTTATTATACGGTTACGTTCTGCTTTACAGAAGCACGTTGTCCACAAACTACATGTCCCACAATGCATCTCATTTTGTGACATGCGCACTGAAGAGACTTGCAATTATTGGCAATTATGTAATATAATACATTATTTTATATATATTATATATTTAGATATGTATATTTCTAAAGTCTTAAAGTTACAACCTGCTGCTGATATGGCCCGCGATGAAATTGAGTTTGACACCCCTGAAACAATCACAACAAAACCATGAACTCCTTTGATCCAGATTGTACAGAAACATTATTTAAAATGTTACACATACAGTATGTTGAAATATATTTGTGGAAAAAAATTTAGGACAACTTACCATAAAGAGTGAGTAACAGCGGACCACCGTTAGCAGCTGTGTTTCTGTGTCTGCTGACCTCATGTATCTCTGGAGGATAACGTTTTAAAGCCCTCATCTGTGTCTCTTTAGGCGGTGCACATGTTCCCTCGTCACGTCAGCTTCCACGTGGAGGAGGAAGAGATCGTACGCATCAACCCCCGCGAGAGAACGTGGCTCACCACCGGCTACGAGGATTACCGCCACGCCAACTCCACGCGGGCCAAAATCTCACAGCCAGAAAACCTCGACGCCTACGTACATTTCGCCAAGAGCGAGGCGCCCAAACACGACTATACCTACCCGTACCCGCTGAGCTGCAACGTGACAAGGGGATGCACCGGCAAATCTAACTGCATGGAGTCGATCGGGGGTCGAAGGGCGGTGGTGACGGTGCAGCCGAGAGCCCTGCAGGTGGTTAAAGTCCCCTACGTGTATTGAGTAGTGCAGTGATGACGTATTTTTGTATGCCGAATCGGAAGTAAGCTGTGCAAGGGTTCCCTCGACGAAAAAGCAATGGGATTTCTCCATAGGATTTGGGAATATTGTAAAAAATAAGGTCTGTGGAAAACGAACCTGTTTGATAAATGCACGTTTTGTTCAGCCGGATAATCTCTACGTCTACCCTACTTTTATAATTTTCTAATCATGAATCTAATCGCCAGAAGCAAAATGCTAACGTCATGCTATAAAGGAACTACAGCAGGGTCGCTGCTTCAACGTCACGCCAACTTTAGATCCATATTCAAAACTACAGATTCAAAATGGTACGAGTTGAAGCGTTTGTTTGAACAGTTAGCAGGAGGCAGGTACTTGCTTTCAAGCAGAACAGGGCAAACAAACTTAGCGGGAGTGTTTACGCGTTCGGCGTAATGACGTCAACGTCCTCGACAACTTCTGTAGTCCTATTCAGCCACTTGTTAAAAACCATCGTTTTTCAGACACGTAAACTCTTCAAAAATCACCAGCGGGGTCACTGCTGATGGATTTAATGTCGTAGAACAAAACGTGATCCATCTCTTCAATTTGTGTCAACCACAGACCTTATTTCCAGATATTTTCCAAAATCCTATGGAGAGATCCCGTTGACTCTGAGACGAGGGAACAGGAAGTGGTAAAATGCTAACTCACTTCCGGGCTTTAGGACTCGTCACTGCACCACTCAATAGAGGTTACAGATGGGGTCCAAAACTACTGAGCCACATGAATGTCTGGGAGCAATAAATTGTATATGCTACACAAATATGGCCAGAATTTTTCGGAAATTTGGGTTGCAGATTAAAATGTTCCAAAGGGGAGTTCGTTTAGCATGAAACACTAACTAAAGGATACGTTAAAAAAGAAAGTAGAAAGAAAGTGAGGTCATAGAAAACCATTTCTCCTAAAAAAGTGAGCAATGATTGAGACATCTAAACATTTCAGATGTATCTCACACTGCACTGTCACTTTAATTCATGTTTTATTATCTTTACTTTTAAATTAGTGTTTTCAAATTCTATTTTATAATGTGTTTCGTAATGCTCTTAAAGGTCACCTTGATTATCCATCAATATATAATAGGTCTCAGATATATACAAACATGGTTGCTGATTGGCTAATGGTTACACAAGCCACAAAATCGTTATGACATCATAAAGTGGCAAAATCTGATCAGCTCATTTTCAGACAGGTTTTTATAGAAATGGATCAGGACAAAAAGAGAGAGAATCTTTGTTCCTGAAACTTTCAGAGTCTCTTTACACAGAGGGGGGGGACACATGTTGATGTAGAAGAGACATGAAGAAGAGGATTTTGCATAATAGGTGACCTTTATTGTCTTTAATATTTGTAAAGCACTTTGAATTGCCTTGTGGTGCTATATAAATAAACTTGCCTTTGCCTTTCCTTGCAGCCCAAAGGCAAGCGGAGGAAGGAGGACGGAGAGCGTTCGCGGTGCGTTTACTGTCAGGACATGTTTAACCACGAGGATAATGGACGAGGTCGCTGCCAGGAAGCACCGGACCCCATCCAGACGTGCATCCGGAGGGTCAGCTTCATGTGGTGCGCCGACAGCCTGCTCTACCACTGCATGTCGGACACGGAGGGGGATTTCTCAGACCCGTGTTCGTGCGACACAAACGATGAGAGATTCTGTTTGCGATGGACGGCGCTGGTGGGTTTGTCGCTGCTGGCGCCCTGCATGTGCTGCTACGCCCCGCTCAGAGCGTGCTACCGCTGCGGGGTGGCGTGCCGGTGCTGCGGCGGGAAACACAAAGCTGTGGGTTGAGGCGTCTTTTAGTTAACTTTAGCCCATTTGCCAGCTCATAGAGTACTGTTGTGAACCTGGAAATGTTGAGTACCCCAACGTTTTATGATGGAAATGTATAGTATGGGTCCGCAGCACAAAGAAACTGCCGGATGCTAACTTGCATATGTTGGGCAACACAACGCTGTGGGTTGAGGGCATGTCACTTTAGTTTAATTGCCAGCTCATGCCCCTTTCACACCAACGCGTTTTCAGCTCCGGCTCGGAGCTGGAGCCTGAAAAGTACCGGTTTTTCCTGTTCACACCGCAGAGGCTCTTAGCTCCGGAATCCGGTTCACTTCCAGCTCCAAAAAATTGTCGGTCTAGACTCGAGGCAAGAGCTTCGGAGCTAAGAGGCGGCGTCGCTTACGTCTCTCTTACGTCGAGGCGGGGGCAGGGGCATGGGCGGGATCAACCTCCTGAACAACAAAATGCCTGCGTTTTATCCAGTTTGTACACAACGATGGAAAACCTCAAACTGAATAAGCAGCAGTGGCCTTCCATTTCATTTCGTAAGAGGATAACCAAAGCGAACAGCGCTTCAATACAATCGGCCATTGTTGTTGTCGATGTGAGGGATTTCCGCGCGGTTTGGATTTTATGAAGCAGGCACGTAAACGGTGACGTCATGACGCAGCAGCGGCAGCTCTGGGCGGTGTGAACAGAGCGGGAGCAGAAAAGGGAAACCGGAGCTGAACCAGAAAATCTCCCGCTCGGAGCTAGAAAGGGAAAAGCGCTGGTGTGAAAGCCGCATAGAGATCTATTGTGAACCTGGAAATGTTGAGTTCCCCAAAGTTCTATGATATAAATGTATAGTATGGGTCCCTAGCACATAGAAACTGCCGGATAACTTGCATATGTTGGGCAATTTGCATAAATTGCATTAATAAGGCTTGCACAATTAGCATAAGTTAAAATTAATAAGGCTATTCAGACAATAGGTTGAACATGGCTTCGCAGATTTGGACACATTTTTGAGTGGTTTTCTGGGTTATTGAGGATGTTGAATGAATCTATTTTTGACATTTTCAGGATCATAAATGGCCATTTTAACCAGAAAGAGGCTGCATTTGTAGGCTACTCCCTGTGGGCTGATTTTGATTAATTTTGGGTTGATTTGAAGATTAAAGGGGACTGAAAACTGACTTTTCGATCAAAAAAATGTCAGTTATTGCAACTTATGACAATTGTACAAATTGCCCAACGTATGCAAGTTAGGATCTGGCCTTTTCTTTGAGCTGGGAACCAGTACTAAGCGTTTCTAACATAAAACTCTGGGGTACTTTACATTTCCATGGTTCACACTGCTGGCAAACACACTCCTACCCGATCTGTACCGTAAGCCAGATTTGTTCTAAACATTTGCTTAGATTTCCGGCGTTGTGGAAAAATTAGAGGTTTTTAAAAAACGTTAGTGTCAACAACAACTTCCAAAACATAAAATACTTTTAAGTACACATTTGAAAGCAGGACGTTAACATGCAGAAGAGTATGTTAAGAGCATACTATTGTATTTATAAGGCTCAGAGTACTTCTTCCAACATTTTTCTTTGTTAATGAATGACTAAATTATTCTAGACATTCTTTACCAAAACAAGAGATTATTTAAATAAGGACACATTTAAGTCTTCTATTTTGTAACCAATCAAACCAACGATAACGTTATTTTATCTAAAATACCAGAAAACTGTTGTAAATCGCTTTGACATTATTCAATTAGCATCATGGGAAGTAGCGGCATATTCGCACATGCGCAGAAACATCTTGTTGTCAGTACAGATCGAGTAATGAGAAGGCGTCGTAGGCTCAAAGTAACACTGAAAAACTGACACCTTGACTTTAATTAAATGTATTATGTTAACAAATGTAACATAACTGTATTAGGTTAGTTGAAAGCAATAATATTAAGTTTAAATCAAATATATTAGGTTCAACTTAATATATTTGCTTTCAACTAATACAGTTATGTGAAATCTGTCGTTATAATACATTTAATTAAAGTCAACTTTAAAGGTTTTTTCAGTGCACAGGGACAGCAGCAAAGACTCATGGGAAATGGAGGCCGCTGTGATTCTGTGTGTGTCGTTTGTCTCGTCTCCGATTTCCAGGAGAAGAAAAACTTGTATCTCAACAGACGAAAAAGGAAAGAAAGACTGAACAGAGAATATTAATTTCTATATAAAGTTATAAATATAAACATAAATATATATCTTTATATAGATATATATTTATGACAGGTACTTTATATTTTTACACTCATGTGTTTTCAAGGCTTGAACATGTCGTCAGCGTGGTGTGAGGTCAGTATGAATGTTATTGTGTTTGTTGAAAGGACTGCAGCAAAACCTTCAAACTATTTAGGGTGCACACAATCATTTACAATAAAACATGGACAGATCTAGGATTAGTTTAACAGGTGTTTATAAAGTTTATTTATAGACAAGAACATGACAATTAGTTTCATGTCTGTGTGTTACATATGGAGCTGGACATTAGCATAGCTTAGCATACGGTCTTGAAGCATAAGGGAAACAGCTAGCCTGCCTCTGTCAAAAGTAAACATCTATCATCTACCACTTAAGCTAGAAGAAACATGTAATATGTAGGTTAATCTGTACACAAACAGAAACATTAAATAGGTCTTAATTCAAGTTGGATAAGAAGGTGGAGTTTCATGTATCTCTGTTAAATATGTAGCTGGATGTTAGCTTAGCTTAGCATGAATTCTTAATTCAGAGGGAAAAAGCTATAGCTTGCCTCTTTCAAAGGTAGAAAATAACATCTTCCACGAAAGCTACAGGTGAACATGTTATATCTAGTTAAATCTGTACACAAACAGAAATGTAGAAGCAACAGCCAGGCTGCTTCCAGTCTTTATGCTAAGCTAGGCTAGCTGAATCCTGACTCCAGCCTGCTTAAACGCACCAACATGACATTAGTTTCAATCCTCTCATCGAATTCTCGGCGGGAAAGCTAATGTTTCTCTCCAACATCTCATTTCTTTTCAATTTGTTGTGAGCTTACTTGAATTTTAGTTCCAGCAGCTTCTCCTGTAAAGATGGATGTTTTATTTTCCTGAAACCTGCTCTGCTCATCTCCCTCTAAAGTTAACAGATAAACCAGTTTGGCCGACCAGTAAGATGGCGATTCGAATAATTCAGAAATACAGTATATGACAATTCGCCAAAAGATAACGTCGTATTTAAAGGTCACCTATTATGCAAAATCCTCTTCTTCATGTCTCTTCTACATCAACATGTGTCCCCTCTTCTTCATGTCTCTTCTACATCAACATGTGTCCCCTCTTCTTCATGTCTCTTCTACATCAACATGTGTCCCCTCTTCTTCATGTCTCTTCTACATCAACATGTGTCCCCTCTTCTTCATGTCTCTTCTACATCACCATGTGTCCCCTCTTCTTCATGTCTCTTCTACATCAACATGTGTCCCCTCTGTGGAAAGAGACTCTGAAAGTTTCAGGAACAAAGACTCTCTCTCTTTTTGTCCTGATCCATTTCTATAAAAACCTGTCTGAAAATGAGCTGATCAGATTTTGGACAATTTATGATGTCATAATGATGTTTTGGCTTGAGTAACCATTAGCCAATCACCAACCAAGGTAACC